GATGGAGATCTGATTCCCTAGGTAAGGAAGCAGATGTATAGAGACAGAGAAAAAGACATGGGACAGACCTCTTGAATAGGCCAGTGAAATAGTAAAGCATGCGATTTCAGGATGAGGGTGGTGCAGAGTTGGCCCAGAATCTCACTACCACAGTGATCTGAAGACCATCTTGGACTGCAGAATGTTTTCTTCAAATGGAAGCGACAGTTTTCCCCAAAGCATTGGAAGGAAGCATTAGGTAAATAAAAGTCTATATGTCCAAGCCTGCTCACCCTCGTGATGTGGCATAAATTGTCCCCCTTGAAGTCCAGCATCACTGTGAGTAGAGATGCCATGGGATCTGTCCTTTGGAAACTCATCTACTCTAACAATAAGGTCAGCATCACAGTGGCTCGACACCTCAGAGACTCTTTAAAACTCGTTACTACCAAAGACAAGCGGTGTGGGATTCTGCTCCATAAAGCCTGTGGCCCCATTATTCTCAGTTGCATTTGAGCCCCTCTGCTGCATCTTGGGGAATGGCCAGCTGACAGGGACAGGTAGTGAGCACAATGTCATGTATGAAGGTACAGGTTCACAAAGTCACTTCAGCTCACACTCCTCGGGTGGCGAGTGCTCCTGTAATCCTGCCCAAGTGCAAGGAATGGAGTTACATGGCTTTGAGAGGCAGCAGAAGATAACCCAGACTCTGTCATGGCAAGGTCTAGCAAGCTCTGTGGTTCTTTCAAATTTGTTCATGTTGAAGTGAAATTTCTCAGAATACCTAATGGGGACACAAATGCTTCCTGCTCAGCAGCCAGTTGGCATGCATTCTATGTGTCATGTCCTTAACACCAAGCTAGGCAGCATGCAACAGAGGTGCTGGTAGAATCAACCATTTTTAAATTTTCTATGTAAAGAGTTGGAATTGGGCCTAAAGAGATGGCTCAGTTGGTAAAGTACTTGCAGTATGAGGGCCTGGGTTCTGTCTCCAGCATCCTTGTAAAGAGTTGTGCAGGGATGCTAGCTTGTAACCCCAATGCTGGGGAGAAGGAGACAGCCCATTCTTGGTGTTCACTGACAGGTCAGCTAAGCAAGTCAGCAAATTCCAGATCCGGGTAAGAGATCAAACATATGGCTACTGACAGATGACACCCAAAGCTGAATTCTGGATTTTACCTATCTGTGCACCCACATGCACATAAAAAAAAAATAGTCAGCGGGTTTAGAGAGATGGCTCGACAGTTGAGAGTACTTGTTATAATTACAGAGGACCCGGTTAGGTTCTCAGCATCCACATGATGGCTCACCACCATCTGTAACTCCAGTCCCAGAGTTCCAATGCCATCTTTCTGTGGCACATGGTAGACAGACACACATGCATGCAAAACCACTCATACACATTTTAAAAAAATTTTTTCAAACTAAGTTTTTAGCCAGGTGGTGGTGGTACACGCCTTTAATCCCTACACTTGGAAGGCAGAGCCAGACAGATTTCTGAGTTCAAGGCCAACATAGTCTACAGTGTGGGTTCCAGGACAGCTCGGGCTACGCTGGAAACCCTGTCTTGAAAATCCCAAAGCAAAGCAAAGCAAAACAAAGCAAAACAAAAAACAAAATAAACCCCTAACGTTTTAAAAAGATTTGGAACAGTAAGGCATGAGACTGGGAGGGTGGTGAGGTGGGGGCCCAGGGGAAGTTGGAGGGAGGTAGAATGGGTGGATGCTGAGCAGACAGGGGGATGGGCATGAACAAAAGACATTGTATAAATAAATGCATTTTCAAAAATAAATAACAATTTGTAAGAAGAGTTGGAATAAAGCAGTGATTAAGATTTGTGTCTCAGGGCTGAGAGATGGCTCAGAGGTTAAGAACTTGGCTGCTTTTCCAGAGGACCCAGGTTCAATTCCTAGCACCCACATGGTAGTTTGCAACTGTATCCCCAGTTCCAGGGACTGAAGTCCATTACACAGATACACATTACAGGGGATCCAACACCTTCACACAGACATACACCAACGCATAAAAATTTGCCCTCATGTAGGCAAAACACTGATTGCATAAAAATTAAAATAAATCATTGAAAAAAACCAAAAGACTTTTGTCTGAGCCCACTGCCTGGGCTTCATTCCTGAAGACAGCACACACCGATGCTGTGTGCTCAGGCAGGTCCTTATGGCTCTGTCTCCAAATCCTCACCTGCACTGAAGGAGAACCAAAAATGCCAGCCCTTTCAGAGGGTGGTGGGTGGAGGCGATGTTAGGTGCCCAGTGCGGGTGGAGGTGATGACACTCCAATCCAGTACTTAGAAGAGTCCACGGTATGCACGGTATGAAGAATGGGTGCCCATTTCATAGTTGTGTGTGTTTGTTTGATTGTTTGCTTTTTATCATTGTCATTTCGAATAACTGACACAAAGCAGAAACCGAAATCTAAGACCAGCATGCACACAGCCACCTGTTCTGTGTCACACACTGCAGGTTACACTGACTGATAGCAGTCGGCAAATCTCAAATTCAACGAATGTTCCTGTGATAAATGAGAAGCAGTCTCATCACCTGGCTCTGGTGACCACAAACTGTCTCCTGGGCCATCGCTGGCTTCCAAGCAGGAAGACAAACTAAGGATCCCTGGCAGCACTTTGAAAAGCTTTCCAGGAAACATAGCTGTGTGTTGTAGGGGACACAGGTTGTGTGTGGGTCTTCCAGTTTCTAGAGATTTCTGTAGAGGCTTTTGCTCTTTGATTTTCCAAAAGGAAAGCAACAAATCTCTGCAGGCTTCTGAAGCAGCACTCGGCATTAGTTACTGCATACCTTCCCGTGCCCCACCATGCTCCCAGGTGCTATGCAGCTCAGAGGGCAAGGCGCTGTTTGTTTTCAAGCCCACATCTGTTGGTTCTCTCCCAGTAATTAAACTGCTGCCAGCAAGGTACTAAGACACTCTCCAGGGTAGGCACTGGCTACATTCCTCTTGAAAGAGTTAAACCTCATGTATCGGTGTAGACCTGCTACAGGGACCAAGGTCAGAAGCAAGAACAGCCTGCATTGCAGTCCTGTCTATCTAGTGGCAGAAATGATGGCTGTGAATTTCAACACACTCATTACTTTTTCGAGCTTCTCCACTGGCCCCAGCCCTGATTATAATTGCTGTGATCTCTGTGTGCATGGGGCTGTAGTTTGTTCATGTGTGTGGCTGTAGTGTTTGCCATTGTGATTGTTCTGTAGTTTGCTTACCTGTTCTGCCATGAGCCTCTGGGTTGTTTCTTGTTTGGGGGTAATTATTAGAAGCAATATCACTGCAGACATTTGAGGAGATACATCCCAGGCCTGTAGGAGAGTTGTGCAATGGAATTTTCTAGAAGTAGACCTGCTGAGCTGGGCATGAAAACATCTTTATCTAGGTTGGGATCGAGTGGGTTCCACTCCAGTCCTGGACAATTGTCCCTCACATCAGCCCCTAGAGGTCGGAGTCATCGTTTCCATCCTGTGAGTGAAGACACTGCTTATATTCTAAGCATGGAGCTCAGGTCTGTGAGTGTCAAACCCAAGCTTTCCCTGCAATGACATATGCTAGCCACGCTGAGGTTTGTGGGCCCATGTTAGTAGCAATGTATGACCATGAATGTCTGGGGAAGTGAACTTCCTTGCATAGCAGAGTGCCACAAACCCGGTCTTTGTCGCACGCTAGAACCACCCAGTCCCTGCCTCAATTCAGCTGCAGCAGTGAGGATGGAGAGGGTGTCCAGACAGACCTGACTGTGGCTTTGTGTGCATCTCCGTTTGACTGGTGATGTTGGGTCTGTTGTTTCCTAATGGGACATGTGCATGTGGTTTAGGTCTGTGTAGGCCTCTTGATCATTTTAAATTACATTTGCTTTATTGTTAAAAATCTTTTTATGCCTATGGGTGTTTTGCCTGTGAATATGTCTGTGAACATTGCATGCATTGCCTGAGGAGGCCAGAAGAACCTGTCAGATCCCTGGGAACTGGATTTACAGATGGTTGTGAGCTGTCGTGTGGGTGCTGGGTAGTGAACCTGGGTTCACTAGAAGAATGGTCTTAACTGCTGGGCCATCTCTATAGCCCCGTGTATGTCTTCTAATGGATATTTTGTAGTTCTTAATGTATCATGAAGACTTTCCCCCTGTAGCTAAACACATTACAAATATTTTAACTTAGTCTGTGGCTTATCTTCACTTAAAAATGATTTTAATTGCACTATTTATTTATTTGTATGTGGGTATATGCTATGGGACATACATGGAGACCAGAGACAACTTGACGGACCCAGTTCTCTCCTTTTACCGTGTGGGTCCCAGGGATCAAACCCACATCTGCAGGGTTGGTGGCAAGCACCTTTACCCACCACTGCTTCCTGTTCTTAGTTGTCCCTCAATTGTCCCTCACATCAGCCCTAGAGGTCAGAGTCATCATTTCCACCCAGTGAGTGAAGACACTGCTTAAATTACAAGCATGGAGCTCAGGTCTGTGTCAAACCCCAGCTTTTCCTGTAACGACATATGCTAGCCACACTGGGGTTTGTGGGCCCATCACACAAACCACCTCACTAGGCCCCTGTCTTCATTTTTCGATCGTGTCTCCTGAAGAACAAGCGACATGAATTTTGACTCAATTCAAGTGAACATTTTTCTTTTATGCTGATTGTCTCTTCTGAAACATAGCTTTGCTATTGCATGGTGGCTCTTTTGTCAGAAGTGTGAACTTCTAACGTATTTTAAAATTGCTATCACTGTACAGTGAAATCAGAGCTGAGGGCCATATCTGTTTGACTCCCAGGTTGTGACTCACTAAACAAGCCATGCTGTTGCCTCAAGCCTCAGTTTTCCTTCCTGCAACGTAAAAGACAGTTCCTCAAATCTGTTAGAGGAACCCAGTGTGACAAAGGGAGGTGTTCTTCACGGTGCCAAGCATGCTAAGAACGCCCTGTGAAGACCTTTTGTGTTTTGCATCTAGCAGTGGGCAAGGCAGAAGGAAATAACTCCCCCTGATGTTTGTTTCCAGTATATCAAGGCCTTTTACAATGAAACCTGGGGCAGAAGGCATGGACATCCCATAGACCCCGATACCCTGACTCTGCTCTGGTCTGTGACTGTGTCCATATTCGCGATTGGTGGCCTGGTGGGAACACTGATGGTGAAGATGATCGGAAAGTTTCTTGGGAGGTAGGTAGGGGCGTTGTTTCTATTTGGTGGGGGGGCTCCCTTCTGTAATGATTGTAAAGAGTCTGCATTGTTAACAGTGTCCCCATAGGCAACAGAATCTCATACAGTTTAACTGGAAAGACTTCACTCAGGAAGGGCTGGTGTGGAGGAAGAACTAGGGTACCAGTGTCCAGTGGGGAAGAACGAGAATGCCAATATCCAAGAAGATTTGGTGATACAGTGATGAATAAGGCTGACAGTGTGCAGGGACTGGGCTGTGCAGAGAGGAGAGAAGGGAAGAAATGCTCTGAATCCTCTGTCCTACTGCCTTCTAGTCTGCTGCAGGAAACCAAGATGCCTTGTATCCCAGAGGCCAGAGTAGAACAGGAGGGGAATGGGTCTGGGTCTGGGTCTGGAGAACACCAGCACAGAGCCTTTCAGGTTGTTCCACAGAAGCACAGAGTGACCATCCTCATCTGACAACCAGTTATTTAGGATGTTTTCCACTGTATGACTGATGGACACTTGGGGAATTTCAGGTTGTCCCCATCACTGATAAAGCTGCGGTAAATTAAATATCAGAAACTCCAGTTTCAAGCTGGGGAGATGGCTCAGTCAGAATAACACTTGCCTTGTGAGTATTAGGACCTGAGTTCAGATTCCAAGAATCCACATAAAAAGTTGGGCACCGTGACACATCCTTGTAATCCCAGGATGGCAAGACAGGAGGCCAAGATGGGAGGACTCTCGGAAGCCCTCAAGCCAGCTAGTGTAGCTGACTTGATGAAGTTCCAGGCAATGGGAGACCTTTTCTCGAAAAATGACAGAAGGAAAAAAAAACTCCTGCGGATGACTTCTGCCTTTCAAATGCACTCACACAATAATGTACCCATGTACAACACACACATGCACACGCACATGCACACGCACACGCACACACCAGTTTAACTCCCCCACCCTAGCCAAGCCTAGTCAATCAGATCCACTTCACTTTGTTTGTCCCATCCCTAACTTATTTATGACATGAATCCTTCTCTCAGGGCAGATTTGTATATCAGACCCTCCCTCCTCAGTGTCTTCTCTGTCTCCTTTCTGCTATCAACAGCCTCTTGGAGGCTGCTGAGGTGTGTGTGTGTTTGTGTGTGTGTGTCTGTCTGTCTGTCTGTCTGTCTGTCCAAGACAGTCTTGGCCAGTTTCATGTCTGAACTTGAATTGTAATTCTCCCACTACTAGATGATGACCTTGGCAGAGTCATTTTTCTCAAGCCCAGGATGATGGCTCCCACTGAGGCTATGTGACAGGTGCTAGGGAAAGGAGTGGAGAGAGGATGCCATGAGACGCATCTCAGTGAACACAGACCATGTGTTTGTGGTCACCTTGACATCCATACAGAGTAGCTCAGGAAGCCTCTATTTTGCATTCACACAAATTGGAGAAAGGATCCATCAAGTCCCAGAAAATCTCTCAGACCTTGGTGTTACAGAAACACTCCTAAGAAGGGTCCTACTCATTCCTTCCCACCCTGCCTAGTGTCCCCAACAAAGAGCTCATTAGAATACCGATGTTTCAGCAAGGTTCTCTGAAGGCCATGTTGGAAGCATCCACATAGTACCTATAAAAGTATATGGTACCCAGTGAGTGAAGGGAAGTTCTGGGGTTTCTTTTGTCCCCGGGTCCAGGTCCAGAGCAGTAACTACGGGCTTTCAGTATTAGGAAAGCATAGCCATTGCCTAGGGCAGTGAGAAATGGTTTCTGAGGTCTCCCAATGTTCCAGACATTCTCACACACTCTCTTGTTTCATCTGTTCATCCTTTATGGATGGAAATGGGAGGTCAGAGAGGTAGGCTCAGCTAGCTCACACATGGCTGAGATCATGCTGGGAGTAGCACCGTCTTCTCACTCACTGTTCAAGAGGATTTTGGGTAGGGCCTCTCCTGGCCACAGAACTGTCAGGTTTGTGACTGTTGAGCCATAGGCACACAGTGAGGTAGTACCCAGATAGCACCACCAGCCAGAGTCCCCCATGGTGCTATTGCTAAGTTCTGCCCTATGCTAGACCTGTTCAAAGCCCTCCTACTTACCCCAGTTAGGCACAGTCACCCCTGCCCCAAGGCTCTGTGGACTGTGATGTCTGCCCACCTTGTACCTGGCTGTGCATTGCTGCCCTAAGGCTGTTCCTTAATGAGGCTCTGTACCCAAGCAGTCGAATGGAGGACGGTGCACTGGGATTGGGGGCCAAATGCTCCCAGTCACCAATTCTGGGACTCAGGACTTTGCTACAGCATCTCCTAACACATACTTTTCTCGAACGTAGCATGAGCTGATTGACAGTAGCTTTAGGACCTTCAGCAGCCTGGCAGAAAGAAATGGAAAGGGAAAGTGTGTTTAGAAACATCTTGAACACCTTGAACTTCTAAGCAACCCAGGAGCCCTCATCTGGGTCGAGTAGGGCCCAGTGGAGTGGTACTACTGAGATCAGCAAGAGGGCGCTGCTCACTGAGCCTCCGGCCAGCACCAGTTCTTCTTTTCCTTGTTCTGGGAATCAAACCTAAATTGAAGTTCAGCTTAAATAGCTGTTGAGAGGAAAAAGAGCCAAGCTGCAGAGAAGGCTGCCACTTCTTAACTTTCCTCTACAGTCTGGTGCTCAATGTACCACAGATGGGCTACTTCAGAAATCCACTGCCATTTCCCCTGCTTTACAAGTAGTGACCCTGATGACCTACGAGGCTCAATGGCTAGTCTACACTGCAAAGAGCAGGGCTGGTCGGAAACACAGATCCAGGCCAAACTGATCAAACATTGAGATAGCTCTTGAGATTGTCGGGGAGGGAGAGGAAGCCCAGATCATGGTCAGGGGCTGAGGGACAGTAGCAGCAGTCTGGGTGTGCCATTAGAGGGTGCACCATGGTGTGACTAGCAGTTCAGTGGACCTGGATCTCTGCTCCAGTTGGGACTGGATACTGGTAACTCCAGCAGTGGGAGAAGGACTAGCTTGTAACCCCAACAGTCTCAGAGGCAGTTAGTGGGAGCCACGGCTGGTTCATGAAAATCTCTATGTTTAGAGAGAGCAATGGAGATGGAGCTTGGATAGGCAGGAACCGTTTCTGGAGATAGGCCACATCAGCTTAGAGATGCCCCAGGAGTACATTTTCTTCCTCCTCATCTCTGTTCTGCTGTAGTCACAGAAGTCTCTTTCCCTCCTGACACAGGATAGTACGTGTTCAGTTCACAGACATGGCCACAGGCTCAGCTTCAGCTCTGGGCGTTGATGCTGGTGGCTCATGAACTGTCTGTGAGTTATATGAGCTCTCTGACCCACATGGTTCACAGAAGCATGAAAATAAAGTAGTGGCACGTGGGAGAGCTGCCACCAAGATTGAAATAGGTGCTGGGTATAAGACGATCATCCTAGAGTTGGCAAGAGTTGGCTGTCATGTTTCCCATGGCCATGTGAGATGTGAGTGCCACGATCACAACGGACTCTTCCTGATGTGTGTCATTAGTGCTTGAACAGTAGTTGTGGTATGTGTGTGCACACACGCAAGTGCATGTGTGTTTTAAACTGTGTTAGAATTGTCATTATTGCATCTGTTATTGAGTCTGATTCTTACCTCTAGAAATAGGTAAAAATAAGAAACAAAACAAGAAAACCCACATGGACTTTGAAGCCAGATCTTTAATCAGACCTTAGACAATCCATGTGTCGGAACAGTGGTCAGTATGGGGGTGGGGCACTATATGGACACACTTGAGGCTGTGAACAAGAAAAACATCATTCCTGAGGCCCAGGGATGCCCCTGGGGCAGAGAGGTAGTGTGAGAAGTTTATCTGGGGGCCCTTATGGTCCCTGTAAGTACTGAGAATGAGTAACAGGCTCAGCAAGAGGCAGCTGGTCCCCCAAGGTGAAAGTCTAAATTACAGATAAGCAGGATTCACCCCAAAGAGCAGCTGTGAAGGCTGAACAAGATGCAGTTTACACAAACTTACATGGTGTCGCACTTCACTCCGGGAAGTCTTTGAATGGCTGCCATGGAGCCCAAATCAAGTTGGCTGAAGCCCCCAAGGGAATTTGTTGGCACATATGACTTACATTGGACCAGCCAGCTCACAGAATGTCATAAGGAAACCCAATTGATCTGTCTCTTTTCTCCAACTCTCAGCCCTGCCTTCCTCTTGTCAATCTTTTTGATGGAGCGTCAGCATAGACCAGCACTGTGATATCTCTCTTAGTACTTACCAGGTGCTGGGCTGGGGGATGGCTCAGTTGGGCTGGGGGATGGCTCAGTTGGTAAAGGGTCTGCCATGCAAGCATGAGACTCTGAGTTCAGATTCCCCCTGAGCCCACATAAGGAGGTGGGAGTGGTGGCCACCTCTTGTAACCTCATCCTAGCTAAGGGCCTGGGGAGAGACACAGATCCCTGAAGCTCATCGGCCAGCCTAGCCAAAGCGATGAGCTTCAGGTTCCGTGGAAAGTGATGGAGGTTGATAGTCTTGAGTTTGGATGAGATCTTCAACATGTTCAACCATGCTGAGCACGGCAGAAGCACACGTTTGATAGGGTAACCTTTAACCACTGAGCTCTATCAAACACACAGAAAAAAAAAAGAACAGTAGAATTCAAGCAAGGAAGCAGGAAAGGATGGACTGAGGTATCGTCTTGGCATTCAGACCTAGTATGGTTTACGAGTTGTTGGAAGGCATATGGCAGGCACACACACAGCTTCTCCATTCATTAGGGCTTGCTGGCAAGTGCTTTACAAATGCAAGCCAAAGTAGTATCCCTCTGTCTCCCATTGATAAATACTGTGCCGGGTTCGCCATGGCTCCCCAAGAGGAGATGTGACACAGTTCCTGGCCCTGGAGCATCACCAGGTCTTTTACCCCATGATCCCCATGTGTGCTGATGACTGCTGTTGGCCCGAAACTGATCTGCTGTCTCTTCTATTTTACTTTCAATCTCTCTTTCTGGGGAATACAGTTCCTCCATTACTCAGAGCTAATCGCTCCATGATAAATGAAAC